GGCAACGCGCAATCATCGCGGTTGGCACCAACCCCTCGCCGCCTCCTCTCTCCCAGAGCTCGATGATCAGTGGCTTCGTAGAACTCGACAAATCGGGCAGAGCCCACGGAGAGCGGGAGTCACCGAATCGCTCATCCGTGCGTGCACTCAATTCGAACGCCCTCGCCATTCGCCGTACGTTATTAATGCAAAGCTGGGCATGAATCACGTCTTTGGCTGGCTTTTCTTCTCAATGAACATTTGTCGTGAATGCGTACAATGTACTGGGGCTGAACGATTTTGGGAAAATATCTAATTGCGATATTTTTTCTGACAGATATTATGAGTGTGATTTGATTTGCGATTGCATTTTTTTAAGTCAAGCTCCAGTTCAATGTTTACTGTGTAATAGATTTAAAACATGTGATGGAGCATTGCCACATGATACCATCAAAGTATGAACTGCTCTATATATTCTAACGCAAGGATGAGAACTTACAATATATGAATTCCTTCCAACATGTACTTATACAATGTTTTAATTGAAATAGAACAATCAAACGTAGAACAATTGTTAGGTCAAATCAATCAAGTTATAATAATAAAAAATTCCAATAAGAAAGTAAGAGGACTTTTCAAATCTCACAAAAATCGTAGCCTTTGCGATTTGCTAATCACATTGTTTCAAATTGCGATTTGGATTTGAAATCGATGAATCGTTCTGCCCTACAATGTACCCACAAGCAGAACGCACGAGTGCACTTTAAAAAAAACGCTAAGTTTAACTGTCAGGTTCTTCGATGTTTCTTACGCGGCATTACCCGATTCATCCATCCATGTATTGACCTCGTTTCTGTGAACGGCACGAGTCTCACGTTGAAGGGTAGTTCAGGACTAAAGGGGAGTGTCGCTATTGATCGCGACTGCGTGCGAAGGAGCCAAAGGCGAGCTCGCCCCTCTACCTTGCAAAGTGCACACCACGTCCCTGCACCAGCGAACAATGCGCCCACTCAGCCCGCCCCGCCCCCACCAATGCTCCGTAAAAGCCGTGACCCCAGACAAGCACGCGGTACGAAACATCACCATAACGAGGCGCAAAATCGTCCACGACGCGATGAACCCGCGACCACAGCTGATGGGGGACATCGAGGGCAGAACGAGTCACCACGGTGGCTAGGAGGTGTTAACTGCCTCGCCTGGTATACAGGAGGTCGTGGGTTTGATCCCGACCCCGATGCCTGCTGATGTATATTTGGGGTCTGCATGTTCTCCCCGTGGTCGCGTGGATTCTTCTCCGGGCCCTCTGGTTTTTCCCTCCACAATAATAAAAAAAAAACGTCCGTTTAACGAGTATTTGGCTGCTATACATTACCGCACGATAAGCCGCTTCGTTGAGCTATCATTTGTGATAGCCAGGTCGCTTCTGAAAAAGAAGCTCTATAGCTCAACGGGCCATACCTGGTGAAACAAACATCTTTAGTTTTAGAGTCGCGATTGTCCTTCCCCTTGGTCACGACGAACCCCGGTTACCGCCGACTCGGCAGTGCCCTCTGGCACGCGGGGTGCCGCTGTGGCCTCACCCGCGTGTAGGAGTGAACAAATCAAGGCACGGCGTGAATTTTCCCACCGATCGCGTGGGATCTCAGAAGCTAAGCAGGATTTTGAACCTGGACACTTGCTTGGATTGGCAACCACCGCTCACCAACTGTCTGTCATAGGTTGGGGGGCTACGCTGTGAAACATCCCAGGGCAGCGCAGCAAAATCCATTGTTGTGCTGTGCTTCTATGCCTACACCAACCGGCACTGACCCAGCGTGGCGAAGTGCGGCCAAATAACTCGCACGACGCGAGGAGGCCCTTATCCAGCCGCGGACTGACAGGAGGAGAGTGCACGCGTCACGACACAAATCACACTTCATCACCAAAGATGAAGACTTTTCATCTCTTCTTCAGCGCGTTGCGAACGTGAAGCCGGGATATTCTCCTTAACTCACAGACACAACCCCCACAGCCACCACCGCCCCTCCGCGCACCACACGGTAACAGCGAGCAGCGTGACGCGCATTTACACGCTTCACTATCAATGCGCGCGCTCCGATGGAACACGCCAAAACTCATTTGCGTTTCCCCGGCCTCTAATGGCGCTCCGTGCGGAGTAATGGCGCTCGGCGTTGCATTAGACGGCAAAAGTGAAATGCGCACAGCGGGCATGGGAGCCGTGCGACGGCTCGCTCAGAGAAATGAAGTTCTCAGCCTCTCGTTGTTCTTCTCATCTCGGAGCCACGAGACATTCGCTGTGGCGGCGGCGGGGGGGCGTAGCCTTTGTGGGGGGTTTGAAAAACGACTAAAGTCTTCGCACCTGCTCTTAAACACCGACTTCAGCTGATTCGAGTGAGAGCCGAAGCCGAGGGGAGGCTTCGTAGCGGCACCTTTCCACGTGGGGGTTCCCGGTGCCACGTGCGATTCGTCACTCGGCTATCGCTACAGCATCCGGCGGCAAGTGCTGGGCACCAGCTGATGCACCCAACTCGGTTGGCACCGCCACTTGATTAGCAGCCCCCCCGGAACTGCCACCGCTTTCATCTGAGCTGTCGGGGCGCGGTCTCTCAAAAAAGTATAACCGCAAAGGGCCGCGCACAATTACTGACGGCAGAGATACTTGCTAAACGCCAGATCAAGCTCCCGTGATTACAGACGCGGGTTCTGTCGGGCCCTGGCGAGGACACGGCGCGTGGGGATCGCCGATCATCTCCGAGCCACGCAACATTCGGCTCACAACACCGCGCCTCTGTGTGCGGGGGGAGGGGGGGCTGCCCGACGGGGGTCGTTACCACGTCGGTTCAAACCCGACGGCGGCCGGCCAGTGGGAGCCGGAGACGCGGACTCGGCTCATCAGCTGCCCCTGCGCCGGCATGCTCTGTGAGTGCCGCTTGTGACAGCGAGCGCCAACGGCGCAACGCGTGCAGCTGGCATCACCTCCCCGCCCCCACGCCGCCCCCCCCCAACTCGTACCACGCTGTGTACCTCGTGACGGCGCTCGCTCGTGCCTGAGCAAACAAGTTCTCTTTTCCTCCGTGAACTTCCCCTTAAAAATTCAACCACTCTTCTTGGCCCGTGATCTCATTACGCGCGCCCTCCTCTCAGCTTGTGCAGCGCCTCAGAAATAACAGTCGCACTTAAATTCAAATTGCGAGTTAAACTTTCACATGACTCCACTCCACACGGCTCAGTCAGATTTTTGCCAAACTAATAATAAAACAAGTTTACCAAGCAAAACGGCAAATTGGGAAAAAATACAATTGCTGATGCACAACATCATTCTGCGCTGTGATTCAGCCGCTCTGTCGGCCGCCCAAGGGGCTCGTTCACCACGGAGATGGAGCGACGACATTGCCACCGTTGCGTGTCCGGGTGCGGATTGAGGGAGGCCTTCGTCCAGCGGTGGATCGAAACGTGGCTGGCGTTGTCATCCAAGTCAACGACGCTCTCAACGCGCTTCGTCACCACAGCGCCACCGCTCCTTCTGCATTGCCAATTCACGTTTTTCTTTGTGCAAACTGCCGGACGCAATGTCCGCGGTACAAATGTGAGAATAAATCTGTCTCAGCCCACCCCCCCCCCCTCATATATATCGCCAACGGGAGCAACTCTACGTGCAGCGTTCACCACGTTGAGATTTATTAATTAATCCACTTTGTCCTTGGTACACACCGAGAGTGAGGGCGGTGAAGCAATGAATTTAAGAGCACCCCCCCCCCCCCCCCCCCCCCCCATTTTAATCGCCATGGATACATCACTTACCGCGGCCGGGTAATTTGGGCATGACAAAAAATACGTCAAACGCGAGAGACGTGCTTTAATGGGATCCCTCGTATATTAAAGCGCAGCCCCTAATTAATCCCGAGACGGGTGTCACCCGCACGCCACATTAAAGCCCTACCCCGGGCTAAGCGTGTATGGTGACCTGTCAAACCTTCTAAAACCTCCTCATTATCACGGCTTAAGCACAAAAGCTTCAGTCGCCAGAGCCTCCAGCACGTCCCTAACAGCGCAGAAGGATCCGTGCGGGCTCGGCGATGGCTTGCGCACAACGTGCGGTATTAGAGTCTTATTACTATTCAGCGGTGGCGGCCCTTTGCGCGACACGTTCACCGCTGCGCGCCTACTGCCGCGGCCATCGTCGCGGGCAATCGCAAGCACCGTGAAATAAGCCTGGAAAATCCACCTCGAGGGCTGCTCACGCACTGCTGCTGCTGCTTGCATTGCTGGAGGCGCGGTGGCGCGAGTCACACATCTGATGTGTGACTGGCCCTTATTTTAAAACGCACACGACGCGCTAGCGTTAACAGAAAAAATTTCAACGACGCCATCGCTGATAACAAGTTGCCGAATATCGTTGGAACGCACGCACACCCGCGCACCAACACGGGCACAGCTATGCCCTCGGCACGTTCACCAAAGCAAGAGTAGAGCCAGCGCACGAGCGGCCCATGTGTGGCCGCGAGGCCACGAGCTCTGCAAGCCACTCACTCACGAACAGCACGGGCCAAGCCGCCCAAAGCACGACCCTGCTGTAGTTAACGTCTCGCAAATGTTAACTACCTTGCCTCGTATACAGGAGGTCGTGGATTCGATCCCGACCCTAACGCCTGCTGCATATTCGGAATATGCATATCTCTCTCTCTCTCTCCGTGGCCATGTAGATTTTTTTCCAGGTCCTCCGGATTTTCCCTCCGCATTTAGAATCAACATGCGTTTAGAGTATTTGGCTGTTAGAAATTGCCACGCAATAGGCCACTTCGTTTAGCTATCATTTGTGACCAGGTCGCTTCAGAAAAACAAGCTATATAGCTCAGCGGGCCTTGCCTGGAAAAATAAAATGAAAAGTTAAAATGAGTCCAGGGACTCACCGACGACTCTCGCGATTAAACAACCGACGTCACTAAGAGCGGTGCCGACCGCGGTGCGCTCGGCGCGCTCGGCACCGCGGTCGCTCACGACGCGCCGAGGAGGGGACGTACACGGCGTGCTGTTGTGTTGGCTCCAGTCGGACGGCGTGAGGCTCCCCGTGCCGTAGCAGCCCGGGGAGAGGCTCTTGTCGTGCAGCATGCAGGAGGAGGGGCTCCCCACGCACACGTTGTGGTAGCGCCGCGGACTCATCGCCAACGCCTCCACCATGCAGTCGTACATCGTTCAGCGCCGCGTCCCACTCCGCCAGCGCCCGCTCTTCTGGTAGCTCGGCGGATTTCTTTCCTACCCCCGGTCACTCTGTTATTTTGGACTTCGCCCCCGACGCCCCGTCACGATGTCCACGGCCCCCTCCGCCAGTCGCGTTCGCGGAGCCAAGTGGGACCGAGTTCACCTAACGCAGGCCGCACCATCGCCGCCGCGGGTGAATAATTTCCCCCATTGCGTCAGAGCTGCCCAAGCAAGGGTCTCTTACGCAGCCGTGTCCAAGCGCACCACCACCACCACCACCACGAGCGGATCTTGTGAAACCACCGCCGCCCGACCTAAGACCCTTCGCAGCCGCGACGTCGCGCACCCCGCCGGTTTCCCCGGTTTTGCTGCGTGCTCCCCGGCAGCTCGCGTCAACGACGCCCGTTGAGCAGAAACGAAAGCTTCGTCATCGATCCAAACGACCGCCGCTCCCCGCCGCGACGGCCGGCATTCGTGGCGCAGGGCCGCCGCGTCCCGGCAACTTCTCCGAGCCGGCCTCCCTGAAGCCGGCCGTCCCACGCGCAGGCGAACAGCGCCTCTCGGACGAGCCCGCTCGTGCACACGCGCCGTCTGGGTCGGGGCGCGCGTCCCTTCCACGGGCCAGCAGCAGCGTGAGATGCGGATGCCGGCCTCCGAAGTTAAAACTCCTCTCCCTGCTCTCCCGGGCCAAATGGTCGGTGCCGCATTGTGAACGCGGGCCCCCCCTACCATCACCCCCACCACTGCGCGCGGAGCCCTCCCAGTGAAAGACGCCGCATCACCTAATGTATGCGGCTGAACTCTGGGTGAACCCTAAGTGGAGACTGCAACCTCCCACTGACCCCTCGGGAGTGACAGCGCAAGATGGCAGGGTGTGCGCGACGCAACAAAATCAAAGCCTCCCCCTTTTTTGCGAGGGGGGGGAGGGGGAGAAAAGGGGCACCCTCCTTTTTTGTTTTAAACTTGAGGGTGCGGGTGTGCTCGAGAAACTGTGCGCTTTAGGAACCATTCATAACACCGGGGATAGCTTCACCCCGAACAATTGTGCCTTGAATGGCTGCTCAGAGACTCTCAGAGTAAGAGATTACACCGCTTTGTGCCGGCAAGCGATCGCTTCGTGCATTATTCCCTATGATTAACTTTCAAATTATTCCAATTAGTGCTTATTGAACTATGAGGTAAGTAAAGAGACGTTTGCTTACTTTAACTTTATTTTTCTATTTTTTCATTATCAAACTTGATGTTTTGCAGATTTAAATTGCAGTCTCGCTTCATAGATTAAAAATGTAATCGCTTATAGAGGCTCCAAACTCTGCAACGAGATGCAATGCAAAGATGAAAAGCCCTGTTCGATTAATCTTTAATTACATTTCGATTTAAAGCTTTCGTGACTGCAGGGATTGATATTCTTGGTTATTTCGGTAAAGTCACGTGACTTTACCGAAAGAACCAAGAATATTAATCTTTAATTATTTTGGCGCATTCCTTTCGTGAAACAACCGCAAACAGCATGTGGTTTTTAAAATCAGCGTTGTCGGCCGAGTTTCTAATGGAATTGAGGGGAATTGGTCCGGCTACATTACCCAGGGAGAGAGCACGTGAGGCTGCAGCAGCAGCAGCAGCAGCGAGGACGGAGGGACAGAAGAGCACACATTGTTAGTTCATCACGGGGGATGGAGGGCGAGCGGTGAAAGGACCGTGTCATTCAACATCGCGGGCCTTTGTCTGCCGGGTGCCCGGCATCAGCAGGACTCCCGTGCGACGTTTGTCCGACAAAAGGCTCCTCTCTCTCTCCCTCTCTTTCCTTTTCTGTGAACCCTGGGGCTCCGACAAAGCCGACGAACCGACACTCCGGCAAAACAAAACCAAAACGCGCCTCGACAAAAAAAACGGCAACGTCCCAGAGGACGGCCCGGCACTCGAGCGAGATCCACTTCTCCAAGCCGAGGAATTTTACTTCTCAATTAGGGGTGGCAGCAGCAGCAGCCGCCGTCGCCACGTTCCGAGCGCGATGCCTCGCCGCTCACCGCCTCCGAGAAGCCGGGCTTGCAGAGTTCACAAATGACCGCACGTGTGTGCCGCACACGTGCTTTATGGCTGTAAACCGGAAAAGGAAACGCGTTCCGAACAAAAAATGTGTTGATAATCCCATCACCCACTCTTTGGATCTTCCAGCAGAATAGAGCCCAGTAATGTTTTTGATGAAATGCATATCGAGGCTTTCAAACACAATTTGGAGAACTTCAGTGTGAACCCACGTTGCTTTTGGCTGCGACTGAAAAGGCTCTTTTCTTACGAAAGCAAATAAGATCCGTTTTGAATCTCGTCAACATCGCAGTGTGTGCGTTTCACTTGCTCAATGGGCAGAGGGCATCAAACCGCTCGTGGCTCTCGGCCCACCGCGCTCACCGCGATCGCTCCCGGCCGCGTGCACGCACGTCGCGAGCAGTCAGCGCGCTCCAGCGGGGAACACAACACAGCCACGCACGCACACACAGACACACACACAAACAGACACACACACCGACACACACACACACGTGGCGAGTGCACGAGGTACATCACCACGCAACCACACACGATCAGAGCACATGATGCGCCTTTGTCTCCCGAGTGGCAAAATTTACACACCGCACCAGGTACTCATTTGAGGCCGAGTCGACCTAGGAGAGGCCCATGATGAGTTCAAATATTCGTGGCTGTGAGCGGGGTTCAAAGCACAGCACACTAACCACTACACTACCGCTCCCCCACATAACAGACCACACAACCACACACAATCACAGCACATGATATGTACAGTGCATAGCCGTACACACCCACACAGTGCACATAGTTCTGATGTTCAGAACTAATTGCAGCAGCTGTAATTCCCCATGCTGTACAGATATATACGGTGGTGTAACTATGTGGGGTGCAGGCGGTGCAACTGCGCTAGGGCCCATGGGCCAGAGAGGCCCAGATGCTGGGTAAGAGAGGGGGCCCCATTTCAGTGCTTGCACCAGGGACCAAGCCAACCACACTCTGCCAGCAGAGATCGAATACAATAGCAGCACCTAAATGCATCAAGAAATATATATAGTATAACAATGGGTTTTTGTCAATATATAAAGCTCTGTTCTCCGATCTTCAATTGACACACTAACTCGCGCAGCTAAGATACAACGTTACAATCTGCCGTCTGAGCCACACAGAACCGCGCCAGACGGCGGCGGCTTGGGGGAGGCCTTCATCCAGCAGTGGATCGAACACGGCCGACGGCGACGACGATGTCGCCACGAGCAAGGCATTGGACGCTCGCTCGTGCCGAGCGGCTCCCCGGCGAGACGGAGCGAGGCGCGCGTCTCGCTCCGAGCGGATACCAAGCCTCGACCCTCGCCGTTTATCCTCGCACTGGGTCAGCGAGGCTCGTCAAGTGTCGCATTTCACGCACGCGCGTGCGTGCCGTGCGCAGCGAACGCCGCCGTGCTGTGCCGTGCCGTGCGGCCCCGTGCGGCCGCAGCGCTCTCCGCGTCTCCCGGGGAGGTTTCGGTAGCGCGAGCCGGGGGGGTGGGCAGTGGGTGGCGGGGTGGTGGGGGGGACCACAGAGCCGCAGGCAGGAAGCGGGAATGCCGCTCGGTGCTAATGCGTACAGTGAGAACGATCGGTCAGGGGTGATGGGACCAGGCACCCCCCCAATTCCCAGGACGAGCATCAAGGAACGGCAACGGGGGGGAGGAGGCGGGATCGTTGAGCCGCGAAGTCGGAAACAAAAGCGCAGCGAGCGAGAGGCTCGCGGCGTCCACATCCCCGCGCGCTGGCCGCAGCCTTCTCAAATCGCGACTGTGCCACCCGTCAAATATTCGTCACTGAAATTTTTTGCTGCGGAAAATAAAAGGGTAATCTTCCTGGGTTTATTATGTTTTATTTTTATTATTTTATTATTTCCCTTCTACGTGACTTTACCGAAAGAACCAAGAATATGAATCCCTGCAGTCACGAAAGCTTTAAATTGAAACTTACTGGGTTTGTCTTTTTTTTAAGCTCATGCAGATGCGAGCCCACATTAACGCGTTCTCAGTTCACGCAAAAAAACATCGCGACCCGGTGCATCACTTAGCCGTAACACAAAGTCTCTCCCCGCTGTGTAGCCTCAAAGACTGTTGGGGCAAGAGCTGTCGGTGGGCATTTAAACTGGCACAGCATGCAATGGAGTGGTGGCGGCCAGGAACAGACCCCGGCCGCCTTAATCTCCCCAGTGCTCATGTTTACTCACCACAGCACGTACTCAATCAAGACTTGGTCAAGCTAGGGGGAAGTCCTGGCAATGGCTCAGATATCGCCAATAACGTTAGCTGCTAGCTGCGGTGGCAAAATGAAACGGGGTCACCGGGTTCGTAATGCGGCGGGGCAGACCGGCTTGCTGCCGCACAACTCCGCACGCAAACATCGCACAGACACGCGCACGCACCGGGCACTGCCCTCCGAGAACCAACACAGACGCAGCAGCAGCACCCCCTTTCTCTCCGCCGCCCGTTACTGCTCTCCGGCAACTGAAGAATGTAAAACAAGACCAAACAAACCCCACACTCAGATGGATTACACCACCAGCACACTGGGTGACGGGGGGGGCCGCTCGGCTCGCTGCAAGCCGACCCCCGACCCCCCGCCGTGCCCTGGCGCGGGGCACGGTGACCCAAACCGCGGTGCCAACAATCTCTAATCTCCCAACGGCAGAGTGCCGAGAGAGGCAAACGGAGAACTCGCCCATGTTGTTGCCGTCGGGTTCGCTGCGGGCTGTTCGGCACGAGGTCCGACGTTTCGCTACCCGGCACTTGAGAGCGACCAGATGGCCGAACAAACGCCATGGTGCCACCTGAACGAACACGCGTCTCGGTGCAACCTGAACGAACACGTGCGTCCTGGCCCACACGGTGCGGCTCCAACGCTCACATTCTGTGTGCTTTTAAATACTTTGCTTAATCTGAGGGAAATTAGAAATAACAAATGTTGAAAAGTAATTGACATTTTTTGCCTGCCGCGCATTTGATGATCAATATTCGTGGCGTGATGAATGAATTCAAATGTAAATATGATCATTCAACTATTTTTTTGGTTTACCAGATAAGGCCCACTGAACGATACAGCTCTTTTTAGAGTGACCTGGCTACAAATGATAGCTCAACAAAGTGTGGCAATTTATAGCAGCCAAAAACGTGGAGGGAAAAACCGGAGGACCCGGAGAAAAATCCACGCGTACATGGTGAGAGAGAGAGACACGCAAACTCCAAATATACATGCGTCAGGGTCGGGATCGAACTCACGGCCTCCTGCATACCAGGCGAGGTAGTTAACATCTCGCGGTGTGTGAAGCTTGTATGTTCTCCTCCTCTTCTATATGGGTTTCCTCCGGGTTCTGCGGTTTCATCTCATAGCTAACTAGTATCACAGGCTGTGCACCAGTGAAAGCATAGACACCGTACCCTACTGTATTCTGACAAATGCTGGGCCTGAATAGACTTCACTTTCAAGGTCCGATCACACCGTGAGAATGTTGCACAATGCTGTCACACGCTGGAGCTTTAGACGATAACATCTTGGTGCGTCATCGTGTGAGAACAGATGCCTCATTTCCATGGCCACCGCTCTAACCAGGCCTCGGTCGCCCCAGGAACGGCCTAGAAACAGCATCAGTACCCGGGTTTGGGTGACCATGCTCCGTAAGCTAAGTGGCCCCATGGGCTCAGCTCCTCCCGCCCGCCCCTCCCCCAACTTCCATGGCCAGAGTTGAGGGTCGGAACAGCATTCAGGGGACAGGTATGGATGGTAGCTGTTGGGATACCTGCTTGCACCTCCACTCTCACACCTGTAGCTATTTCATTGATGGGAGGCTCAACAAGGATGCATAGAAAACTGGCGGCCTCTCCCACCCCTCCGCCAGCCCCGCCTACTTTTACATAACCACACCCACTTGACCATTGGCTTCACCCACTGCCCACAGGCCCCCGCCTATTCATCTACCAGCCCCCACCCCACTACTCAGGTAGCCCCCCCCCACGCCCCTTTGCCCACATCACTATGAGTTCGATTATGAGTCCAGGACAGATTCCTTGACATGTCCACAAAAGCGTTTGGGGACACCAGGGGGGACAAAA